AATTTTTTAAAAATTATAAATTTTTAGTTTATAAGTAACTGTAAATTATTTATTATATAATTAAAAAATAAAAATTATTATAATAATATATTTATAAAACTAATTTAAAAAAAATTTTTTTAAAAAATTTTAATTTTCATAAAAGTAAATCAGAAGGAAATTCATAATAAATAAGCAAGCAAATTTATTTGTTAGATAATCTAAGAAATAATAGCATATACTTTATTTATATAATAAATTTTAACATTATTTTGTTATTTAAAACTTAATAATCTTATCATATTTTTTTACTTGAAACTATTTTATTATAGTTATTATAATAATAATATCTTTTATTTATATTAACTTTATTAGATTCATCATATTTATCTTTTAATACTTTTTTATATTAAAAATAAATTTTTTTAATTACTTGAATAATATAAGTAAGTTTTTATCAGATTACTATATATTAATCTATTATTGATTTTTATTTTTTAAAAATTTCTCATATATCATATTTACTATTCTCATTATCATTAATATCAAATTCATTTTACTCAATATTTTTTATTATTAAGTTTGCTAAAATTTCAAAAGAATTATCACATATATATTAAATATTATTTATATATCTTTCTAAAATGAATATTTTAAAGGAAAATATCTTATTTTTACTATATAATATGTTATTTATTGCATTCATAGCATTTAATTATTATTCTAATATTTTTTACAAATTAAGCAGTAGAGTCAAATACTATATAAATTCTTTTCTTATTTTATTATTAATCTAATAAAAATAGTTTATACTATTTTATTTAATTATATCATACATATTCTAAAATTATTTACAATTAGTTTTTTAGCTATTAAAACTGAATTAGATAATGAATAAACTTAGAAAAAATCAGCATAACAGACATGCTTAATTTTATCACATTTTACCAATTAATTTGCTGATCATTTATTCATTTTTATCACATATAAAAATGCTTTAATCAGAAAACTTACATAATAATATATATTAAATTTTTACAAGTAGTTGCATTTTAATATAATATTAAATTTTATCAAAATATTATTATTATTAGATAAGTTATATTAGAAACAATATTTTGTTAAAATTAATTATAATAATATATGATTTATATTTGAAATATTTAAAAAGTTGTCTCAAAGCTAACTTTTGTGTTGTTTAAAATTTTATTGTAATACTTTTATATTATATTCTATAAAACCTAAAATAGATAAAATAATGGTTAGCATAATTCACCCTTGCATATCTGTCTTTGCTCAAAACTTTGAATCTAAAGAATTAAAAATTTTAATAATATATAAATTATATATGAAATATTCAAAAAGTTATCTCAAAGCTAACTTTTGTGTTATTTAAAATTTTATTATTATACTTTTATATTATTTTCTATATAACTTAAAATATGAAATTTAATGGTCAGCATAGTTTGCCCTTGCATATGTGACTTTGCCCAAATCTTTGAAGTCTAAAATAATTGTAAATTACCTAATTAATTATTTCAGTCCTAAACTAACTTATGTAATATGCTTGATCTTGATTTATTGTTTTAGAAGTATATTGTATATAATCTAAAATATCAAATTTTTTGATTTATAAAGTTTGCCTATTCATATGCTATCTTATCTGAAGTTTTGAACTTTGGATCAGCTGATTTATATAATATGATAACTTAATTATATATGATCAGCATAATGATCGATAAGGTAATATAAGCATTTCTACTATGCTAAAAAAATCAAGTTTGTTGCTTTTTATTAACTTGTAAATATTACAATTCATTATTCCACATTTTTTTATTTAAAAAAAATAAATTCATGACTAATGAGAATAATTATAAATTTCTTGTAATTTAGCCTAAACAAAATCAATTATTATTTAGTATTATTTAGATAGTAAAATAAATATTCAATGTAATATGCTATAACAAAATCAGACAAAATAAATATTTGATTATATGATTTAAAATAGTTGATGTGATTAAAAGGCTCAAACATAATTCATAAACTATTATATATTATTATAGTAAATATATTTAAAATTTAATCTTATTTTAATCAAAACTGGTACAGATATTTACTAAAATCATAATATCTTTAATTTAGCATTAACTCTATTTAAAAAATATAAATATAAAATTAATTTATATAACGTTAAATTTCTGCATATTAATTATCATTAGTTACTGACAATTAGATTATATCACGTGTAATGATCTTTTCATTAAACTAAATAATGACAATTGAAGAAGTTAGGCAAGTGTTGCAAAAGGTAGATAAGAAGCTGAACGAGGTGAAGGTTGCATTAAAGGTGTTTAATAAAGGTAAAAGCAAAGGAAAGCTACTGACAGAGTTGAGGAAAAGGCCATTGAATAAGAAGTACATAGATGAAAAAGAGAAGAAAGAATAGAAGGAGGCGAGGGATGAGATGGCAAAGGTTTAGCTAAAGTTCTCAGTTTTGGTTATAAATTGATCGCAATATTGTGAATACATCTGATGTAATACTAAAAATACTTTGTCTAAATCTGATTGTCTTATTGCATGATGTATTGATATTCAAAGCAGAAAAATAAAGGATTCTGATGAGTTTGATAATGCTATAAAAGAATTAGAATCAAAGATAGAAATATGGAACCCATTTCTTTTTGGTGAATTACCTTACTTACTCAGTTATGCTGCTGCAAATGAATAATTTCAATAGTGTATTATTAGAAAGGATCTAACAGCATATCCTATATCTTCTCGATATAATCTTTCTCTTCTGCTTCATTGAGTTTTGGTAAATTATATAAATTACATAACAACCATTTTTTAATAATGAATTTTAATTATACTAACGTATTAACTATAATAATGATAAGTTCTTATTTCAGCTTTTAATATGTTTTATCTTCTTGTGACATTAGAGAAGCTAGTAACTATTACTTATTCTCATAATAATCTATATATTGTGTTTCTCACTTTGTTGTATTGAAAGAAATTAAGAACGTTCATAAGTATGCTGTGATAGAATTTACCAACTTTGATGTTCTCAAGTAACATTTATAGTTTATTTATAAAAGAACAAGTGTACTATTATTTAAATGTTTAATAAAAATCACATTTATTAAAAAAATTATAAATGTGAAAAAACTCATACATAATATCATCATGCAAATTATATTGTATGTATTTATGTAAAGATCACAGTCTGTAAACATAAACTATAAACAAACTGTAATTCTGTATGAATATTGTTTAAATATATAAATTTCTTATGAAATTATTATGAAATGGTTAATATAAATTCAATTTACTTTATTGATACATATACCCAATAAAAAATTTGATATAAAAATTCCATAAAAATATTAAGTTTTATAACATATATCTTTTATGGAAAATCAGTATAATATATATGTTTTTTTCTTAGGTAAAAACCTTAAACTTAATATGGAAAAGTGGGAAAAAACGTATACAAAAAATAAGGAAAAAAC